AATCTCCTGACATGAACCCCATCGAAAACCTTTGGGCTATACTTGACCGGCAAGTCAAGAAACAACCAACTACTTCGAAGAGCGATCTACTCCAAGTTTTGAAGCAAGAGTGGGCGAAAATCCCACAATCTAAAATTGACGAGATGATTCTCACGATGCCCCAACGGATCAACGAACTCCACGAAGCGAAAGGAAGATCTACTAGATATTAATTAAATTATAAATATGACTGAAAAATTTCATTTTTTCTGAAAAGGTGGTGTCTATTTACTTGTGACCACGCTGTATATATATACATATATATATAGCCTCTCTTTGCGATAGATAAGTAAATAAACTGCCAATTTTCGAATCTCGACTTTAATATTAATGTGCCAAGACACTGCTAGCAACTAGTTTAATCAGTAAGTTAATCAAAGTACTTGCCTAGGATATAGTTATCATTGAGCTGACATCACTTCAGGCACGCTACGAACTGATTTACAAAACAATGTATTATTCATATCATTATGGTTTCTTTAGGTCGCTTCTTCTAAAGCAAAGAGTAACTCTGTGTTAAACTTAACTGTACATTGATCATTTTAATTTTAAAATAATATAGTTGTTGTTGTTGTTTTATTAGTGAAAGCGATACAATGGGTTATCTACACTCTGTACACGACAAGCAACTGATTAGAGGATGTTAAGAACTTACCCCTGACCCACTGAAAGAAAAATAACTTAAAACTGAATATGGTATTAAAGAGTCATGCCCGAGCAAAAAGGCACGAAAGAGGAAAGCACCTGAATTAGCCAGCTCCAAGTTAGTCTTTAATGTTTCTAGTGCCATAGTGAATTAGTACACCATAGTTAATTTCTCCTAGCTAATGTTGGGAGACTTACTACATATTGTGACAGATCAACATTTATAATATTTGGATAGCAGAATGCTAACAACGGAAGACTTGTAACAGTAGTGTGACGGTTATATAGAATTGTATGTAAGCTACTGATGCTTTATCAACCTCTTTCGTGCGTATGCGAGGATTTCTAAATGTAAAAAAAACATTGTTTATAGTCTTAAGAAATTATGTAACGACAGCAAGAAATAGGGTTTCATGTACACCACTTAAGCAAGGTCATGGCTCATATTAGATTTTTAGTTCATGTGGATAATGAAAAAAGTTCATGATTACAATTTATTGCAGCAAAGTGTATATAAATATTGCACATTCAGATAAACTGTCAAAAAATAACGTCTGAGTAAGGGTGTACCGATAAAACAATTGGCCGATAACCAGGCTAATCGTTTTTCAATAATCGAATGTTTTTAAATTGTTCCTGATATTACGCTATCTCTTTATCAATAGGCTCCTAGGCGACTTATAATGAAGTCAGTGACATGAAAATCTAAAGAAATTTGATTTCATAAACACTGTACATCGATAGGTCTCAAAAGCTTTGACTTAACATGAAATGTATGCATAATAATAATCAAATAATTCAACAATGATAATATTCTGTCGGTCTAGCACTATTAGAGAAATGATTTTCTTGACCAGAAATAATGCTTTTGGAGAGATATGCTTTCCTTTTATGGAAAGGACCGTGGACTGTGACGCGATTATAGATAAGTATAGGGTGAAACTAGGGGGAGTGGCATGCACAAGATGTCGGAAATGTCCCTCCAGAAGATCGTTCAAGGGAGGGTAGGTAATTCAATAAAGTTCTTTGTTCGGTGGATCGGTTTCATGTTAACGGATGATCAGAAACAATAATCAACAAGAGAAATGTATTCCATTTCATAAAAAAAAACAGCTATAAAATTTAGGTCCGAATTTGCTTAGGCATGAGCAAATTTATATATTTACATTTTGTTCTATTTGGCCAGTCCTCCAGGGGTCAGTGGTAAACCTGAAGGTTTATAACGCTAAAAACGAGGTTTCGATACCCGTTGGTAAAAACAGATAGTCCATTGTGAAACTTTGGGGTTAAAAACAAAAGAAAGAAAAGTATCTGACCATGTAAATTGAATAATATTTTTTAAAATTCCTAATACAATTTAATTTTTAGAAGCAGAACGTTTTTTATGTTTTGTTATCTGCATCCATATTTTACGTAGTTTGACCGTGGAGTTCACAATACAAAACCGTAGAAAAATAAAACCCGCTAAAAAGTATGTAATGATTTTAAATAGTCCCTTGCAATTGAAACCGTATTGACTCTGTATACGGTCCGGTCGCGAAGCACTTTTACCATCTGAGCCATGGATTATCGAAGTAACATAAGGTATGTTACGTACGGAATTACTTAATTGTTTTGAAATAAAATGTAAGATATGTAGTAAAAAATCGCTAGAAGTATTTTTGTTTTTAGAGAAAAGCCACATTTGTCTATTTTCTTTGTTCACTGCCGGGAACTGAACTCCGGATTCTAGCCTTGTAAATCCGTAAACTTATATCTGCCCCATTGGGGGAACCGCCAGAAGTCAACGAAATATTTTAATGTCAAATATGACTAATCACTTGCAGGCAACGCACTGTGAAGGCTTTGATGAAGTAATTCCCAAGCAAAAGTAAGATGCAGAAAAAACAACAGAATATACAAAGCTAAGCTGTTTCTTTGGGTAATTTTGAAGAAAGACAGTGAGAACAAACTATTCATTCAGAATCCTATATGCATAGCAATCCACAATAACATCAAGGAAATTTCGCATTTTCCATTGAAAACGAACGTTTTTCACGCCTATGGAAAAATAATAATGAACAATTAATTAATACACTCTTCCCTGAAAACGTGAAATCCCATTTTTCCACTACAGCTTATGAACATTTAATTTGGAGTACTAAAAAAATGTTTCCCTTTTTTCTAGTGTATGTATAAGAAGTGCTTATGATTGCTTTCTTTGTACAGATAACAATATAATGTAATTGCAACTGATGTTTTTACGGTTCTTAATATATTTTAATCTATACTTACACTTTTGGAACACTATTATGACGTGTTGTGTAATGTGAAAGATGTGTACTAGATATTGAATGTTACAGACATGTTTATGGGATTGAAGTTCCCAAAGAATAAAGACGTCACCACTTCACGCTAAATCAAGAAGGCTGCCATCATTGCATAGATAAGTGCTCACCAACACCGTACCAAACCAATAACAGATTCAAACACGATACCAAATGAAATCGACTTACCACCGTTATCTTTGGCATTGCCATTAACAGGCCCGAATGGAAGGGGGAGGCAAATAACTTGGTACTGATACAATGATTGTTTGTTTGTTTTTGAATTTCGCGCAAAGCTACACGAG